AAAAAAAAAAACCCTTTAAACAAAATCAGGCATCAATTGTTGTTTTGAATGAATTTGTTTTGATAATTATGAATGCATAAAGTGAAACAACTAAAATTAGTTTAGAAAGAATAAATGATAAAATCCAATATAAAGTTCAAAATTGGATTAATTTAAGAGTTTGTCTACTTATGTCTTAAGGGCACAAATTAAAAGTGAATAAATATATGTTTTTTAATAATTAATTTATATAAAAAAAAACAAAAGTTACTAGTAATCAATATTATTTTAGGATTTTTATAACTGGTATTGTAAATTAAGGGTGCCATGATTACATTCTTTTACTCATTTCTTTCAAGAATAATGGACATTTTTTGATTTAGAGTTTGTCTCATAATAATAGTTGTTTTTTCATATTTTAAGGAAGATAAATATTTTTTTGCCTAGTTTAACTTTATTATTATCTCTTGATTTTAATTATCCATATTTAAATCTCATTATTTTTAGTTCTTTTTTTAAGAGTAATATATGTAAAAATATAAATTGTTTACAGATACTTAATCTAAAAATAAAATAAAAAAGCATCTATTATTCTAGGACAAAGGGAGTAGCATTAATTGATATTTAAAAATTGCAAAAAAAATAACATTAATTTCACCACCATAATTTTAATTTGGTAGTTGATTAAATAAAGGGAATTTCTAATTTGTGGCTTTAGGACATATGTTATGATGTATTTAATATATCTTTTTATAATTAATTACTATTAAAAATTCCAAAATAACTTTAATTTTATCAACCGTTCAATTAAAATTATGCATAAGGTATTGGTGATAAACATAAGGTCAAATTTTATATTTTTCTTATAGAAATTACATGTTTGAGTTGAGGAGACAGGAGAGGAAGGGAATTATATCCTTCCTTTCCTTTCCCCTCCATTCCCTTCATTCGGATAAATAATTAAATTAAAAGAAAAAAACAAAGGAAATTTTTTCCCTCCCTTCCTCTTCATTCCCCTCAACCTAAATATATTATAAATGTAAAAATATGCAATTAATGCGTTCTTAACATGTATCTTAAATTAGGTTAACCCTTTATTTTAACATCATTATCATGTAAATAATTTGAAATGACTAATTGATTAAACTAAAATCAACATATATGCCTTCTTGGCAATTTGAGCTGGGTTCTAATCTAATGGTTAAGAAAAGGAGGAAAAAAAACTCACTTGTAAACAATTTAGTAATTGACTTGGAGATTTTCAAGTTGAACTCTAAGGAAAAAATATCGGATCATTTATGAAATTAATTAAATATCTTTAATAATATAATATGAAAGAAAAATTTGTCGAGATACTGGTTTACAACCCATAGTGCTAATTTTTTGATAGACAAAGTTATTAAAATTGCATCATTTTAGTGTTAAAAAGTTTAGTAACCCAATTTTATTTCTTCTTGTCTTCAGCTTACCTCTATTTCAAAAATTCACAAATGCTCAATGCAAATTCCTTTTTTGAATTCTTCATCTTTGCATCAATAATCTCTTCCTCTTTTCTTCAATTTCCCTCTGTTTCTCTTCTCTTCTATCCTTTGATTTCCCAAACTTGATTCCACTCTTCTCCAACTTTCCCTTAAGATCTTTCCTAGGAATCATAAAAAACATTAGAGTGGAGAAAGAATAGCAAGAAAAGCAAAGAAAGAAAAGAGAAGAAAGAAGAGTCAAACAATAAAAAATTGTTATGCCTCTTTGGTACACATTCTTCTTTTGTTACTCGTGGGCTTTGTGAATTAGCTTTAGAAAAATCAAGCCAATTATTCCTTAACTATACACTTGCCTGTAAATTTTGGATTAGATGTTATGCATGCTAGAGTTTACTTTCTATGCTCCCTAACTCATGTTTGGATCAATTTAAATAATGTACCTACTTGGGGATGACAAATCAGTGAGGAAGGGATAGTATGTAATTTGGTTTGGTATATTATAAGGATGACAACAAATGAAGAGATATTTAAAAACTTTGCTATCAATGAAGAGAAATTGTTATAGTTGGTGAAGTTGAGATCTTTCCATTATCTCACAAACCTATGAGAAATCACAACAATTGAAAGAACAATAAGATGAAGGGAAATCTATCAAACTTCAAAGAAAACAAATAAAAAGCACCCAACAATGGAAGAGGTAAATCACAAATGAAGAAAAGAAATCACTTTTGAAAGGAGAAATCAATGGGGATTAGGGATTATGTTCAATAAAGGGGATGGACTAAGAAAAGGGAAAATGGAGGAAAGCAAGTGATAAAGGCTTGAACACTAAAATGATGCCATTTTAATAACTCCATCCATCAAAATACACTACTAAAATGGAAGGCTTCAACAACACGGGAGTACGTCAACAAAAGTCTTGAATATGTTGTTGAAAATAGTGCAGCAATGTGGATCATGTCAATGATTTCTTTGTTGGAAATGTCTTACTTGGTAAAACATCAGCAACAAGTATTAGCATGCTAATTTCTAGTGACCGGAGTTGCTCATCGAAAACGCGCACCTTATACAGTAACATATGACATGTCGGTGAATGTCTGCCTTCACCAACATAGCATACAATGATAATTTTAGCTTAGGTGTGTGTGCCACCCTCCATTGATTCGACAAGCTCTATCAATTAGTAATATGTATTACGTCAGTGATTTTCCAATTTCACCATCAAGCTTTACAATGCAAGCATTCAAAATTTAAATTTTGGGTGGAACTTTTTGCTGAATCCATCGACAAGAGATATACTATTATTTCATACTTTCACCAACATAAAGCACAATGCTATATTATTTTGCCTTCCAAAAAAATTTAAATTTCATAAATTCCTTCTCCAAATATTCTATACATATATTCCCTAAACAACAATTCAATAAATTCCTAATTCTATCAACATTTTATTTTATTAAAACTATTCCATCACCACTAACCTCAATTCCACCAGCATTTGAAAAAAATCGTCTACATTAATTCCATACATCTCAAACAATTTCATGCCATCATTACTAAAATAAATATTAATGCTATAAAACTACAAAATTACATGACTATTTCTTTAATTATACTATTACATTTGTCCAAAATCAAAAGTATATTATAATACAATATATATAACTATATATATATATATCTTTAAGCACCCATTTTGAAAGTAATATGACAAAATATCTACTTCCCTATAAAATCATCAATAATTATTATTAGTTTCAATATTAAAAAAATGCATAATTTAAATATGAACTTTACTTTATTTTTATAATTACAATCACCATAAATTATATTTAATGATAGCTCACGTACAATATAATAAATTTTACCAACAAAAAAATAAATATAATTGAATAATTAATATATATATATATATTAACTATCTATACATTTGTAGCTAAATACACTTAAATTAAACAACTTAAGCCAATTAACATAGGTTTAGGGATCTTATGATACTTTAATTTTCAACTTTAATCAGAATTACCTACAAAAAAAAAAAACAAAATACCAAAAATATTAATTACTATATATAGTTATTTACAACTTCATGAACTTGAAAATAAATTGAAACCAACTTAAACACTTAATATTTACAAAAATATTAAATAAAATAAAATCACAAAATATGATTAAAGAGAATCAAGGAGTTGAAGAATTGATGCAAATTGAATTAATGACATATGGATGAGAATTTGATAAGAAGGGAGGAGAAATGGAGGATACTTGGTGGACAATGGATGAAAATGGATGTGAAATGAAAGAGAAGACAGTATCATCAATGATGTAGAGAAGAGGAAGAGAAATGGAGAGAATTGTATGAGAAGGGAAGAGAAAGGAAAGAAATGAAGAGTGCTTTGTAATTTTTGGTATATAGAGCATTTAGTATCATATTTCATATTACTGAATTCTTTTTTTTTTATATATCATCAAATCAAAGATAATTTATTATAAGGAGCACAAAGGGTACTCCGACCTATATACAAAGTTAAAAAATAATAATTCAATCAGGCAACAACCATTCCAACAACCAAAAATTACCAAAAACAAGAACCTACCAATCACCCCCATCGACCTATACAACCCTTCATACAAAACTCATGTAGAACCTTGTTTTTGCCTATGAAAACTCTTCAAAAACCCTTTATATCTTGTCACAGCTAAAGCACATTCAACCAGGTTTACCTTCCATTCATAAAGAGAGAAAACACAACCATCCACCTTATTTTTAACCCAAAGAAAAGACTTAGTTTGTAGCATATCCAACAATCACTTTCCAAAACTCCCATTATGTTTAAAAACACAAGCATTCCTCCAATACCATAAATACTATACGACAACAAGAAAAAATACATGCACCCATCTCCTTCCCTATAACTCTACCCTAACTATACAAGAAAAAATCCACCCCTCCCCAAATTGTATTCATCAACACAGCATCCACTCCTTACCAATGCAGCACCGTACCCCAAACTAACCAAGCATCCTTACACATGAAAAATGAATGATTGACCTCCTCTAACACCTCATGACACAAACCACATATTAATCCTTCCTCTTGCAACAACACCCCTCCTTTTTGTAAATTCCATTTTGTTGGAAGCCTATCCAAACATAACCTCCACCCAAAAAAATGCAACTTTTGAAGGCACTAACCTACACCAAATTAGTTTACAAACTTGAATATCAAGGAAACACTACATAGAAGCTAAAAATTCATAAGTTGTCCTGACCACGTATCTTCCTCTCAAATCATGTACCCAAGCTCAATAATCCCCCACACCTCCCTTTAATTGTGCACTATCCAATACCCCCCACAGCACCTCCTCCTCATCTAACTCTTAACCCATTCTCCTCCTTCTCCATTCCATATTCCACCGCCACCTCACCCCCTCCCATAACCCCATCTCGTTGCCCAAACCAACCTTATTCATTGCCAATGCATATAGTCTAGGACACAAATCCCTCAAAGGTTTTTCACCCACTCACTTTTCTCACTAGAACCCCACCCAACATCCACCCCCCACCTCCCACCTAAACCCCTTCACCAACATATCATTTAACCTTGCATATATTCCCACCTAAACTAATAATATCCTTTCAAATTTTAGACATCCTCAAACTCTCTATTGCAATAATATCCACCTCCCTCCTACCCCCATAGTATTTATCCCACACCACCCACTTCCATAAACTCTCCACACCATCACCAAACCTAAACTACCACTTTCCTAATAATGCCCAATTCCTTCTCCATAAATTTGGTATCCCTAGACCTCCCTTCATCTTACTACAACAAACATAATCCCATTTAACCCAAGAAAACACTACAAGCAAATGTATCTATAGTGACGGAAGTTTTCCGTCAGTATACACCCTTTTTCCGTCAGTATAGATCCCAGGGACTATTCCAACGGAAAAGCTTTCCGTCGGTGCAAACCTCGTCACTATAGGGTATATACCGACGACTAATTCGTGGGTATAGACCCTGGGATCTATTCCGATGGAAGATTTGTCCGTTGGTATAGACCCTGAAAAATCTTAAATGATTTTGCCGTGGGTATAGACCTTGACCTTTACGGATGGATACTTCCGTTGGTATAGACCCTAAAAAATTTTAAAAAAAATTACCGTGGGTATAGACTTTTACCTTTTACAGATGGATAATTCCGTTGATATAGATCCTTTCTTTTTTTTTTTTTACAATTAGTAATTCACTTTTATTTTATAATTTTCTCCTGCACTTAATTCTTTTGATGTATTGATAAAAACCTAACACTTTTTATTCATATATTGAGAACAAATGATACTCTAACCCATTTTACAATACACAAAAATCTCTATAAAATAAATTTCCCATCAAACAATACTATTCATTCACTACCCTTTTTATCCACCACAATATAATATGGCAATTCAAAATAAGAGAATCGCAACTGTAAGCACACAAATTAGTAACTATGTTAAACATACTTGGCATATCACCGTCCTTTAGCTCCTCCAACTTTTCCATTGATACTGAAAGCCTCCCAAGTTCCCCAAGCTGATTTAAGAAGAATATTCATATAAAGATCTAAAGCTTGTGAAGAATTTAATGGCAAAACAATTATTGCAGGAGAGAACTTTATATAACTAATAATGATCAACAAACCTCAACCAAACTACTGCAAATTGAAGAACCCATCCAACAGAAAAGGGATATCCACCCAAGCAACTCAGCATGTTCCTTGTTCTACGAAAAATAATAGTTTTTTTTTTTCCAGTTAACATTTCTTACAGAATCCAACCACAAGTTATATAAAATCAAATATTGATAAGGTAAACTTCATACCTTATAGATAATTGTTCTGCCGAGCCAAACAATTTGATTGAGAAATAAGAAAGTCGATAATAGTGCATTCTTTGACTAAAAGAAGAATTAATGAATTCATCACAAAAATAAAGTCAATTAAAAATCCAAAGAAGAACTATAGGAAAACGTTTCTCTATGGTACAATCATACCTCCCCTGTAGAACAAGTGGAAGGGGAGTTCCTAGAGGAACTGGGCTAATAAGAGCATGCAAATCCTTGACAAACCGCAAATTAATAATGTAAGGCATAAATCAAGCAGGATTCAAGATTTGTAAGAGTATAGATCAAATCTAAAAGAAAAACATTTTCTGATAAGATGTATAAATTGACTCAAAATTTTTCCAATTTAACAATCTAAACTCATGATAATACCATTATCAGGAGATTGAATGAAAATGATTCTAATTTCTTATTTTGCATTATAAGATGGAGCCAAAACTTAAAAAGTCAAACAACTTTCCTTGCCAAGCTAGTTGATTTGTCAACATTTTGGGCTGTGCTAGGCTCCCTTCACCAATGAATGTTGAACCATACTGTATAGCCCTACATATCTTATCTCTTGCTTTAGCCTTATTTAGATAAAAAACAATAAGAACAAGTTCAGCTTTATTTACATCAAAAGTACTCATCTTTTACACCAAATGCACTTGAAAGGTTACAGTAATCACTTTTCATTTGAGGCAATGGGATTGAAGGAGAGATAAGATATCCATTCATGTTTCGATATGATGTAAGAAAAATGAAATGAAATTCATATACCAAAACTAACATAATTTGCAAGCATAAGCAAATCACTGTACAAGGAAAGAGGAAGAAAGTGCCCTAAGCCCCTAAGGAAAAGATATGCAGTTGTTCCTCTTAATTTTAATTGAAATAAAAGGTGAGAAACTCATCATTCTACCCAGCTAATTCTAGAAAATCACAAATGAATGAATACAGAACATTTCATAATTTCATGCAGTAGATAAGTATAAAAATAAATTGATTCATGTAGGTTTAAAGAATTTCAGGTAGCCCAACTCCTAATATCATGCCAATAATCACCTTGGAATGTTCAAATGTGCCAATATTTCTCAATCAGAAAGCATGCAACAACAGGGCCAGATGTCTAATTCTATTATATATCTTTATGTTTTGGGGCAAGGGGGGCAGGAAAAATAAGAGACTCAAGAATTACTTGCCAAGCACAAGAAAAAGAAATTCCTTTCCCTCTGTTTTTCTTAAATGTTGACCTTCCAATAAACATAGATTGTTCCATGTTTACTGAGCTCCAACCTCCCATTTCTGTGTTCAGAGGTAGAGCTGATTGAACACAAGCCTTAGAAGGCATGGCTGGGTTGGATTCAAGAAAATTTTGTTAGATTTTCAGAAGAAAAACTAACAACTAAAGTTCCAGTAACTACTGCCTTGAAGAAAAGCAAACTCTAGGCAACAACTTTATTTCAATGGAGGCCAAAAAACACATTTGATTGTATTCAACCAAGGGCTATGACAAAATAAATAATCATTTGAATAAGTGTAACAATGACAACAAAACAAAATTCTACATTATTCATACTTTTTAAGGGGCTATAGCTTTCTCTTTGGAATATCACAAGAGCCAATATACTGCATATTCAGGAATCAGGATGAGAAGGGTTTACTGAGAACCTGTGTTCATAATAATAATAGAGGACTTCAGAAAGCTACAAAGTTATCTTAAGAGATTAATAGAGCACCTTTTGGGGAATAAAGGATGGCCTTCCAATAAAGGTAGATTGTTCTGGTTTTACTGAGTTCCAACCTCTCATTTCTGTCTTTTGAGGTAGTGCTGATTGAACACAAGCCTTAGAACGCATGGTTGGGCTGGAATCAAGATATATCAGTTAGATTTTTCAGAAGAAAACCTATGAACTAAAGTACTAGTAATGGACCTAGGCATTTTATCTTATTGAAGGCTTAAACTCATTTAATTGTGTTCAATTAAGGGTTGTGACATAGCAAATAGCAGATAACAGATGATTCAAGGTAAAAACTAAAGCCAAATTAATTTAAAAAGAAAATGGAAGTTAATTCAAATGAAGAACCACAGAGAAGACTACTACTACAGGAAGTTTAGTACTCACTCTCGCATTTGATGTTCATATTCAGAGCCTACTTTAGGCAGATGTACTTTCACATCAAGCCCATGCTTATGACCTTGCAAAAGTGTCATTGTATGAGAGATATAATATATAGAAAATGCTAGAATCATGTTAAGCCTGCTAGAAGTAGCTAATTAGTTATGATCACTATCACATCCCACCCACACCCCCCCCCCAAAACTCCCCCCTCTTCCCAAATGAGAAAGCAAGATAAAGAGAGAAAGGGAAGAAAAATATTATAAGAACAAACCAATGCTCATCACAAGGACAACATTTGGAGAGATCTTGAGTCTTGGAGCATCATCTGTGTAGAACTGAAGCATGGTTCCAGCTGGCCCTCCCAAGGCTCCACCACTTGTTCTTCTCCGCCGCATGCTTGCAGTGGCTGCTGCACTTCCTCTCGGAGGAGCTGCTCCAGACATTTCTATTTCCACTGCTAGAGTTTAGAGTTTTTTTCACACTTACATTACACAAACTCGTATAATATGATATAAACTATGCCAAAACCAGCAGAGGCCAAAAGTAAGGGGTTTCACTCCCCACACTTTTTGCCTTTCATGTTATATTCATTCCAAATGCTTAGAATTACAAACAGATCAAAGGGCAGCTAATGTATTAGGTACATTCTACTCTCATTATCAAACATAAGATATAACTCACTCAGACAACAGTATGATAGCAAAGATAAAACCTTGGCAGAAAAACTGAAAATTGAAGAAGTCAATCCAAGCTGTAGTATATATTTACTCTACACTCTATAATACACATACAAAGCAAGTGAACAAGATTACATGTTTTCTACACTAATCATAATTAGATTTAATTATGCCAAAAGATATATAAGATATTCCACTCGAATGAACCCCATCTGGTCTCTTTTACTCTTTCAAGCCACAAAACCAGTAAAGGACACTGCTATGAGAAGACTCATTTAAACATTAACTGTCTCAGACACCAGAAAATATTAAGTTCCATGAAATCTAATAACACTTGTAACCACAGGTTCATGTTCGTTATTAATCATTGACTCGTTCCATAATTGAATCTATAGTAATTTACTTAAATCAAATTGGCCCCATTTGTGTGCCACAAAATCCTCCCTTCCTCATCAAATTCAAATTACAATTTTCTCAAACACATGATACTAAACGAATCATAAAACCGTTCACCACTCATATGCATCAATTTCATACACTCAAATTACCAAAATTTAACTCAGCAAGAGCCAGATCCCTGTGATTCAAATTTCATCCAAATTTAATTCATAAGCTCCATAAACGCAACAAATCGAAATTCCTCTTAAAAGCCAAGAACTTGAACGGATAACAGGGATGTTTGCATTAGCCATCAGCTGATAATAGTTTTTATTCATAATCCGATGTATCTAATCCGTTCCATTAGAGTCAACAGCTAATAACTGCTTACAATACATCAGAACAAAACACCCCCCAACATCTCAAAAATCTAGTCAAATTCTAGCAATGAAGAACACAGATCCAGGGAACAAAAAATCGAAGCTATTATTAACCAACGTGATGCAGAAACTACGAACATACAACAAATCACAAAACCCATAACCTCGAAATGTGTAATATCAATCAGATCTGAGCAAATGTTGTTTATACTTTTGATTAAAGAAAATTACCTGAATCTCAATATCTGTGCAGTAGAGCTATGATTCCATCTTCTATGTTTCAGAGTCGCTAGTCCTCTATAAAATCCTACTAACGTGCATGACATTTGGGCCTTTCTTAGAGAAGAAGAGAAATAGATTTGCCTTCCGATTTCTCCCTGTTAACAACCTATTTATAAGGGGTAAAAGGATGCCCTAAACCTATATCTGATCCTACCCTCACAACCCTCCGATTTGCCTTCTTTGATCTCCATCGTCGGGTCGCACAAGCCAAAATTGACTTCCGACCATGGCTTTTTTCTGTGGGTAAAGGAAAGTACAGGGAGCGAGATCAAACAAGAGCTTTGAGTCTTCTTCTGGTGGCCTTCCAGACGGCCAAACATCTAATTAAATTTTGGGTTTCTGAGTTCCAATGGGTTCGAATGAATTTTGGAGATTTGGGGAAGAAAGCTTGGAAATTAGAGAGGGAAAATGGGGAATCTGTGGAGGGAAGTAAAAATGAAGCCAGCGGCAAAAGACAATAAAGTGTTTAAGAAATAGGGAAGTTTACAGATGGAACAGTAATCCGTTTATATAGGTGTATTTATACAAACGGATAATAATTATTGTTGGAATAAATATACTTTATATATACGGATAAATATAAACCGTTTGTATAAATCAACCTTATACTAATGGATATATTTTTCCGTTGGTATAGACTGATGTATACTAACTACTTACGTTTTCCGTTGGTATACATGGGTCTATACAGACGGACTTCCATCCGTTGGTATAGAGTTCCGTTAGTATAGGTCATTTTGTTTGTAGTGAAATTTCCACTTCAACTTAGCCCCACCCCACAAAAAAACCCCATTGAATTTTAATCAACTCAGATACCATGGAATTTGGTAATAAAAATAAAGATATATAAAAAAATAGGCAAACTAGAAAGCACCGAATTGAGTAAAGTGATGTGACAACCAAAAGAAAATCACGTTGCTAAATGTTATTAGCCCCCCCTAATCAACAACATATTCCATGATGCTGATAAATATTTAAATTTCAAAAAGTTAGAACTCACTAATGTGAACTATATTGCCAACACTAAATGGTAGATTTTTAGTTGTTAAAATACCTAAATTGGTCCTTCAACTTTAATTTTTAGACCAACTTCATCCCAAACTTTAAAAATTACCAAAATTATTAGACCAACTTCATCCCAAACTTTAAAAATTACTGAAATTATCCTTAAATTTTATTTTCCCATTTCAATGAAAGTGCCCATGTGGTGCATTAAGTCGCCACGATTTAACTTTTTAAAATTTTAAAAAATCATGTGGAAAAGAAATGATGATGTGGCAATTTTCGGACATTAAAAATTAAAATCAAGCTATTGGTCCCTCTTATTCTATCCTTGGTGGCAATTTTATTAATGATTTTAATAAATTTAATAAAATAAAATATACAATTGCAATATATGAATTGAATTGAGAGAGTAAGGGACAAATAGCAAAGATTGGAAAGCAAGAAAAAGGTATGTGTAAATAGATGCATATCATAATGATGGTCTTGCAATTGAAAGCTAGGTGGAGTGGCCAAGCAATGTAAAATAGCAACATAAAAAAAAGCAAACTAAATCTATGTAGACTAAATCTTTTTTATGGCTTAAAAATAAAAAGACAAATTGTGTGTTCTCTTATTAAAATTGGATATCAAGGCCTATGAATTGTAGGGAAGCCATTGTTCAACATCATAAAAATTTGAAAAGTTACAAGATATTGAAAAGAGGAATGGGTTGATTTTATTTTACTTTATTTTTTGAGATATATTGAGCAATATTGGAATAGTGTATGTGCTTGCAGTTACTGCATTTGAACCTTAGTTTTCAAATTGTATTTTGTTTTGGAGTATTCCTTATACTCCTAAATAATATATTTTCCTTTTGGTTTTGTTGATAAAAAAAAAAAAAGAAAAAAAAAAAAGAAACAACAACAACAATGTAAGTCACATCAATATTTAATGGATCTTAGCAACATGTTTGACATTGTTAAGTTTTTTGCCGGTCGGAAAATTTTAACAAGTTATAACATGTAAATATTTGTTTAGCAACATATTTCTAGTTGTTGATTCTATGGCCCACTTATAAATGCAATGTGATATTGTTGCATAAATTAATAATATATCTCACGTTGGTAAATCTTACTATCACTTACAAACCAAAACCAAATTATATTGCTGATTATTACTTGTTAAAATGCAACATTTTAGTAGTGATATTAACATTATTGGCTAAAACCAGTTTCTTAATAATTTATTAAGAGTATTCAAATAATTTTATGAGTATTACTTTTTTGTTAATAATTAATACTATTTCAAATGTCTAATTATTTCATTTCAAAAAGAGCATATATATAAAAACTAGTCAAGAAATGTATGACAAAATCTTTCAGGTGGCATTTGTTAAAGAAGTTAGCATTAGTTCTGGCCACTCACTTCG